TGCCCACCCTCCTGGGGCAGTGTGGGAGTCTGAGACCAGCTTTGGATCTGCCCAGGCTCTCCTCGACCCTTTGTAGCCAACTTGGAGCTGGGATCAGAAGGGCTCACCGCCCCAGGCTGTGCATAGGGACTGGGCAGGGCAGAAGCCATCCTAGTTCTTTAATTCACATGTCTACCTGCAGACGGCAACTGGGACCTTCTCTGTTCCACGTCCTGTCCTGGGCAATGCTAGGGACCAGGCAGGAATCAGACCACGCCCTGCCCTTCGGCTTAGGTCTTGGGGAGGGTAGACTCGAAAACAGGCAAATACAACCTAAAACTGTTAGCAAAGGGGACCATGGAGTTCGGAGTGTAGGGTTTGAATCAGCCTAGGGGAGGAGGGAATGTTCTGGAAGGATGAGATACTCAGGAGGTAGCACTGGCCCAGGGTTCCATGGCTTGTTTGGAACTCAGCTCCCGTCTTCCCTTTGCTTGAGCAGCTCTGAGGAACTCCTGAGCCTCAGTTTCTGCATCTACAAAATAGACACATTTTCAGCACCTACCTTACAGGGTTGGTAAGAGGATTAAACTGTCAACTGATAATGCACTTGCCTTGCCTGTGCTGGGGCCTGGTGATCAGAGAGTCTCCCAGTTGGTGGTAGCCATTTGGTAGTCACAGCACATCTGGACCAGGGAGGGCAGGGGCAAGATAGAGCAGGGAGGAGACTGGGGCCGGCTCAGGGTCCAGGGTAAGAACCTTGGACCTGATGTGGAAGCCACCGAGAACTACTAGAGGAGATAGAAAGCCATCTGCCTTTCTCCAATAAACAGGTATTTCCTGTGCAATCAGAGCAAAACAAACATCCTCTAGAAAGGGAAGCGCTGCCTACCCTCAAAGCAGTGTGGGTGCCCGTTCCCACCCACCGTCCCCAATTCCCCATTTTCAGTCTAGGTTAAATAATCAGGGTACACTGCAAGGGGGAAGAGAGGTTGACTTAAAAGAGGTGGCCAGACTGGGGGGGGTTGACAATCAGGGGCCCCCCAGGCTCTGAGGTGAGCACTTCCAGGCAGTGTGACATTTTGCTGTCTGCAGCGAGGATGAGGTTCAGGGTCTCCCCACTGACGCTGGTAGGGCGGCTTCTGCAACCTTACTCTGTAGCCACGAGGCCTGCTGAGTCTGTGGAGCTTGACCTCTCCCTCCCCACTTCTACATGGTTGGGGGGGAGTCTAAGCGGAGGGAGGCTCTGCAGGGCCGCTGAGCTGTCTGTGCACCCCTGCAACCCAGCCCCCCAGCTCCCAGCTCCTTCATTTGGAGAGCTTTCCTGGGATGGGGGCCTGGCCCTGTGACTGAGGAGCCTCAGAGGATTCTGGGCTTGGTGAGGACTGTGAACCTCTGGAGTGGAACAGGGTCCTGCCCTCTGGGTCCCCTCCCCAGGCCCCAGCAGACCCTTTCCCTGCTCCACCTCTGGTCCTGAAAGCTCAGAGCCCCTGCCCCAATCCTGATGTCACCAGCTTCTGCTGCCAGCAGACCCAGCCCGTGTGGGCCACAAGCCTGCCTTTGTCAGCTCACCCTCACCGGGGGCCGTGCCAGGAGGGGCTGACCGCATTCTGCCTGCAGCTGGGACAAACCCCGGAGAGGCCTGGGCCACCCTGGAGAGATGGAGCTGGCATGAATGCAGCATCCTGCACTGTCACCAATTGACTGTGGGGATGGGCAGGCCTTGGGGAGACAGCTGCTCGTGTGAGAAGGATCATTCATTCATTCGTTCACTTAGTCAATGGGTGCTTACTGAGCCCCTGCTTTGTCAGGCCCTGGGCTGGCGTGCTGAGAGACATGACTCTTGCCCTTTTTAGGGAAAAACAAAAGCTAGAAGGAAATGTCCCACATCAGAATCACTGGGGGACCCCATTCCGAATTTCTGATTTAGTAGGTCTGGATTGGGACTGTGAATTTCTAACAAATGCCCCAGTGATGCTCACGCTGCTGGTCCAGGGACCAGACTTTTAGAGTCTCTGAGATTCAGGACCAGGTAGAGGAATTATGCATGATTTATGTTTTCTATATTTTCAAAACTATCTCTCTGATCATGTTTTACTTTTATAAATAGAAAAATCAGTTATTAATATCTGAAAGGTAAAAAAAAAGTGATCCCCAAAAATGATTCTGGTGTTCTGGGTATAATCCTATGTGAAGCAGTGTCACCTCCTATGATCTAATGCCATGCATCTGTTAATGCAGCCCAGCCTCAGGAGCTTTTGTGTCCCTGTACTTCCCCTTGGCTCATCTTGAGCTTGGGGTCCACTCAGACCCTTACATCCTCCCCATCACCAGATTCTGTCAATGTAAGTGCAGAGAGATTAAGTGAGGTGTAGTAAATGGCATGGCAGGGATTTGAACACAGGCCCATATGGAGGCTGGCTTGGGTTTAGCTGACAGGCTTGCACTTCTGAGTGCTGTTTCCTTCACGCTTCCTTAATCTGCTGCTGAAACAGCACAGAGACCCTCACTTCCTCATTTCTCTAACTGATGTGATCATTGACTGTCCTGCTTCCTCCTTTTCCACCCTGGCTCTGTCCACTTGGCTGGTGGCGGGGTGATGAGTTTGTGTGTATATTAGGACAGAGGTGGGGGTGGGGTCTGGTGAGGTGCCTTTTCCTCTGTGGCTGCCAGGCAGGAACAGTGCTTTGGGGGTGCTGCTGCAACACACCCGGGAGACAGGCTGTGCTGGCGAGTGGGCATTAAACCCTTTGGCTGACGGTGGGAATGGGATAGCATCTGTGGGGGCTGGGAGAAGCAGATATTTGTCATCTCTGTCTTCCTGACTTGAGTTTAGAACCAGCTGAGAATTAGGCCCAGGAGTCAAAGAGACGGGGGTGAAAGCCTCGGTCAGCTTTCACGGTGCCAAGAACTGGCCAGGAGGGTGCCACTCCCAGCCCTGCCCTGAACTAAATTTACTCAGCCTCAGGGGGCGCTGGACAACGACAGGCCCTTCCCCCTTCCCCACAGGGCGTAGCCCTACGAAGCTGACCACCTGGGACAGCTGCACCCGCCTTTGCCTGTGGACAGATGGGTGTGAAGAGAGAGGCTTCCGTGTGTTCCTTTCCCAGACTCCAGTCAGCCCTGTCCCCCGTCCCAGCCCCAGCCCCAGGGGAGGTGGGTGAGGGGTGCTAGAGGTGCCCCCAGAGGGGCAGAGTGGACGCTCCCTCGTGGTGGAAGCATGAGGAGGGAGGAACAGGAGACCCCCTGCCCAGTCCCTTCATGCCTGTTTCCTTTGGGGAAGGGGAGGCTCAGAGGGCCGAGGTCCAGCTCTCTGGCATGGCCCCTCTCTGCAGCCTGCAGAGTGGACTGTCGCTCCTCCCACCCACCTCCCTGCTCCCCTAGTGCTGCTGTCCTTGGGTGCCTTCTCTGGCTCCTCAGGGACACCTTTGGCAAGTCATTTATCCCTGGTGACTCAGTTCCTCTTTTGAGTGTACCATCCTATTGAAACCATTTGGTCACACTAAGAGTAGATATTATTATTACCATTTGTGACTCCCTTTTCATATTTATGAGACTTAATAATTATGCATTTCTTCTGTATAGTTCCACTCCACTCCCCCCTTACGCTCAGTGTCTAATGATTGTTGCACATTGGTATGTCTTTTGTGTTGTTTTTTACCTAACTGGACAGGCATGCACTCATCTAGTTAATATTTGCTGGGAGCCTGCCGCATGCTAGGCCGCGGGGGATACAGCAGGTGGGGCAGCACGGCCTGGCTAGGAGACAAACTATTGAATAAAGAATTGGGCTGGGCGCGGTGGCTCACGCTTGTAATCCCAGCACTTTGGGAGGCCTAGGCGGGAGGATCGCTTGAGCCCTGGGCAGCATAGCAAGACCCTGTCTCTAAAACAAACAAACAAACAAAAAAACCCCACCAAAATTGCAGATGTACTTAATGATTACAAAGAAGAAGTGAGGGATAGCAGGGAGCTGGTGACAGAGTTGGCAGGAGCTGTCCTGAGGAAATGAGGTCACCCCTTAACCCCGTCCTCTTAAAACTCAAACCCAGACGCTTTACTCAGCCCTTCAAGGCCCTGTCTGGCTGTCCTCTGACTGTCCCTCATTCTCAAATTACCACTGTAGCTGCCCCGGCTTCCTTGCTGTGTCTTGACATGCTCAGCTCTTTCGTGCCTCTGAGCCTTTGCACACACTGTTCCCTCTGCCTGGAATAATCTCTCCCTGGCTCGCTCTCTGCATGGCTCTGCCTTCTTGTCTCAGCTCATGTGTCCCTTCTTTAGAGATGGCCTCCCTGACCATGTCCCCTAACACGGTACCTTCTCCTATCACGCTATCGTATTTTGTTTTTGTCTTCATAGCACTTAACAGTATAAAATTTTTTTAATTTGTTGGTTTATTGTGTATCTCCGCGATGAGGCTTGAGACCCCACACGGAAGATACAGAGGGGTCTGGTCCTCGCTGTCTCTCCTTGCTGCTGCGCCGTGTGTTAGTTTCCTATTGTTGCTGTAACAAATCACCACAAATTTATAGCTTAAAACAGCGCCAGATTAATACCTTCCAATTTTTGAGATAGAGGTCTGAAAATAGGGCTGTCTTCCTCCCAAAGGCTCTAGAGGAGAATGATTTCTCTTGCCTTTTCTAGCTTCTAGAGGCTGCCTGCACCCCGTGGCACTTGGTCCCTTCCTCCATCCTCAAAGCACCTCACTCCAACCTCTGCCTCCCTTGTCACATGGCCTCCCACTTCCTCCCTCTTAGAAGGACCCTTGTGATGACACTGGGCCCACCTAGATAATTTGGGACAGTCTCCATGTCTCAACATCCTTAACTTAATCACATCTGCAAAGTCCCTTCTGCCACGTAAGGTAACATATTCGCAGATTCTGGGAATTTGGAGGTGGACATCTTTGGGGGTCTGTTATTGAGCCTGCCACATCCAGGCCCCCTGAGGTGCTTACCCTGGCTGGCCACTGCCTGGGGGCCCAGCGACCTGACCACACCTTCCCTCTGCAGGATGAGATTGAGGAGCTGAGGGCCGAGATGCTGGAGATGCGGGACGTCTACATGGAGGAGGACGTGTACCAGCTGCAGGAGCTGCGGCAGCAGCTGGACCAGGCCAGCAAGACCTGCCGCATCCTGCAGTACCGGCTGCGCAAGGCCGAGCGCCGCAGCCTCCGCGCCGCCCAGACCGGCCAGGTGGACGGCGAGCTCATCCGCGGTCTGGAGCAGGACGTCAAGGTCAGCCCAGGGGCCTCCCCCGGCCTTCACAGGTGCCCTGGTTGGGAGGTGGGACCACGAAACAGAGCGGGGCCCCAGGCAGCCCTGTGGCTCCCTCCTCGTGTGTCTGTGGGCAAACTGCCACCGCTGTCTAGGCCTCAGTTGCCTCATCTGCTAAGCAGGGATCCCTGGTGAGTCAACAGGCCTTTGAGCAGGGACACCCCAAAGTGACATCCTAATATGAGTCCTGCTACCATACACCGTACGCCTGGTGCAGTGTGTAGTCCCAGCACCATTCCTTGGAGGTTTACGCTGATGGAGAGCAGTGAGGGCCTGGAGCTGGACAGGGCTGGTTCAAATCTGGGCACCAATGTGCACGAATTTTGTAATTTTTGAGCAAGTCACCTATGTTTCAGTTACTTCATGTATAGAATGGGTTTGACAGCAACCCCTACTTCATGAGATAATATAGGGGCCACCATAAACACTCAAAATGTTAGCTATTATTATCTCCGTTTTCTGGATGAGGAATCTGAGGCTTAGAGAAAGGCAGTACCTGACTGCGCTCTCTGAGCCCTCTGGGGGAGGGTGGGGCCTCCAGGGAGAAGCCCACCCTGCCCATCTATGGCAGCCAACTCGATGGGGCCCCATCCCTCAGACCTCAGCCCTGTGGATCAGGGGGAAGGAGGAGCTGGGAATGGGGCCCTAACACCCGAGGTAGGAGTGGGCATGAGCCCGGAAGGGGGTGGGAGAACGTTCAGGAAGATGGCTGCTGCCATGACCAGCAGGAGGGGAGTCAGCTACACGCCTACCTGGAGAGAACCCTTCCCCCCTTTCTGCTAGAAGACATTGGCAAATTCTAAGCCCTACAGCCTTCCCAGTGGAATAGAAAAGAAAAAAATCTTCATTACGGGACCAGCCAGGAGTTGTGATCTGGAAGGCCCCGGGGCCAGGAGCGGGAGACGGTGTGTCAGCTCTGGGTGTGTGTCAGCTCTTGTTGTCAGCTCTGGGTGTGTGTCAGCTCTTGTTGTCTTGATGGTGCACAGTGGGAATGTAGGTCTGTCGTGCACTTGGGAAAACTGTTCCCAGAAAGGGTATGTCTCCAAGTTCAAAGCACACCTCCCTAAGAGGGCAGCTCCCGGGATTATTCAAATTCCAGCCCCTGCGTTGGGAGGGGACGGGGAGGGGATGGTGGGGAGAGTAGCGGGGAGGCAGGAGAGAGCTGGTTAGAAGGTCGGACGAATCTGCGAATCTGCACTGGGGCCTAGGTAGCTGAGGATTTCTGGGAGGGACTCAAAAAAGTCAGACTCCCAGGAGATGGGGACCCGCTGGGGCATAGCGGCTGCGGCTGAAGCCCGCCTCCACGGGGGGAGGGATGAGGGTGGGGGTGGGGGAGGTGGCTCTCCCGAGTTTGGGCGGAGGGGAGGGGCTCCTTCTGTTGGGATTCGAACTAGCCAATCAGCATCCTCCTCGCCCCCTTCCCTCCCTCCTCTCCCCACCCCTGCCGCTGGAGCGCTGAGCTCATCCTCAGGCCGGCAGAGCTGGGTGCCTCTGGCCAGCGCCCTTCGCCCGTGTGCTGGTGATGTTCTGGGGCATTTTCGGAGGTCCTCAGAATGCTGGCTTCCCTGGCCTCGCCTGGGAGGGCTTGATGGACCCGGGTGGGGAGGGGGCTCGAGCTGCCTGCGAGGGTATCCCTGGGGCTCTCTGGACTTGCTCTGCCAGCCACTTGTCCCATGCTCCCACTGGCCCTACATCTTGGTGCCTCAGTTTCCCCTTCTGTTAAATGTGGGCTTAGACCAACTGAATCTTCAGGGCTTTCAAGCTCCGATGGTTTTATTGGACAGGTGGGTTGTTGGTGAGGGGGTCATGAGTGAAACCTCAGGCCTTTTCTCCCTGCTCCCCCAGACTCTCCCACTTTCTGCTGGTCCTCACAGTTGACAGGGCCTGCAGAACCTCAGCAGGGACTTTGCCCAGCATGGGGAGGGCAGGGGCAGGGGCAGAGGTGTGAGGGTTAAGCTCCTTCACATCTGCAAGCCCGTTTCCCCATGTGGAAAACAGATAAAACTAATCCTTACCTCTAGAGATTTGTGCGACGATAAAATGAAATAATTCAAGCAAAGAGAGTATTGCGCACTAGGTCTGGCAGTGGGTGCTCACCCACCAAATAAGCACATTTTGGTTGTGGTTTCATTATTGCTCAGGAGAACTTACAAGGTGCAGGACAGGTGGCTGGAGGCAAGGGTAGGGCAGGGTAGGCCACAATCTCAGCCTCCCAGGGTGGATGAGAATCATCTGGAGGACTTGTTCACAATGCAGATTCCCAGGCCCCTTCAGGAACTGGGACTTGACAGGAGGGTGTCAGGTCCAGGGAGTCTGGGATCTAAATTCTTGTCTGAAGTGACTCTTGTAGGAGGCTGAGGACACACCAGTGACACATTCCCTTCCTTGGATACAGATGTTGCTAGAGTAAACATTCTGGCTTTGGGTTTAATTCCTAGGTGACCTGTGCTGGTTGCCTCTCTTCTTTGAGCCTCAGTTTCCTCATCTGTAAAATGGGGGTGATGTTCCCACCCTCCTGGGGTTCTTGGGAGGATTCAGCCACACAGAGTCCAGAATGCTGCCTGGCCAGTGGGTACGCTTTAGTGAGAGTTCCCATCCCCCACCCTGAGCGGCAAAGTGACAAGGGCACCCTGCAGCCAGAAGCCCAGGAGCTGAGGGGCCCAATGCACGGGGAGCAGAGGCCAGAAGCTGCTGGTTGCGCTGGGCAGGAGCCAGGCCCCAGCGCTGTAAACAGTGACCTCATGGCTGAGTGCATTTGTTTGTGCTTTGGGGATTTGCCCTGGTTTCCGGAAGCCGCAGCTGCCTCGCCTCCCTTGTATCTCAGTCCCTCTACCTTGGGGGTAGCTGAGAGCATCAAATGAGACAGGCACAGTAAACCCAGTGTTGGAGCTCATTATTAATCCCTTCATTGTTGATGTTAATGTAATGTGTCTTCAGGCTTCGAGCCTGTATAGCAGGGTCAGGTCGAGATCAAGACTTCAGAATTGTCCCACCTGATTTCAAGTCTTGGTTCTGCAGCTTCCTAGCTGTGTGACCTTGAGAAGTGACCTTTCCTTTCTGAGCCTCAGAATGGGGATAATAATCAAAGTGCTTTTCCGCAGCACGTGGTGAGCCCTTAGGGAAGTGCTGGCTGCTTCTGTCAGTCACCTGTGAGGGCTAAGGGGGGCCCAGGCCCACTGAGGCTTGGGGAGGGAAAGGGACAAGCCCCAGGCCACAAGGTTCCTGCCTCCCAGTCTGGCGTGTTGCTCCCGTTGGCCTCCATCAAGGCGCAGGGTGCTGTGTGGATCTGAGATTAAGGGCTCTTTTGTCCATATTGGAATTCTGCAAGCTGCCTGGGGTCGGGCTTTCTTGACATAGCCATCAGGGTTGGGGAGCAAATAGGGAAGGGATTCCAGGGAGAATGGGGCAGAAGGGCACTGAGGACTCACAGAGGGGATGGGAAGGAATGAAATCCATAAAGTCATTCATGAACCCAAGAGGATCCAGGAACCCACATGGGTCATGACTTATTGGTGGGGACCAGGTTGCCTCCGCAGGTGGAGGCCATGGTGGAGATGGGGCTTCTGCCCGGGAGGAAAGGAGCTGGCCCAGATGGGAGAGGAGCCCTTGCCTCCTCCAGCAGCCTCCTTCCTCACCCCAGCCAGGGACACAGCCCTCCCTGCACAGTAGCTAGGGTGGGTATTTGAGGGGAGCATCCCCAGCCCTGCTAGGGCAGGTGTAACTCCCCAAATACATTCAGTCATTCACTCCTTCGTCTCCCTCTGTTTTCACTTATTGGACCTTTGGATTTGTTTGTTCATCCACCAAGCACTTATTAGGCACTTAGTGTGTGCCAGACCCTGTGCTGCTGCTGGGCCACGTAGATGTCAACGAGGCCAGCCGTGGTCTGCAGCCTTGATCTCTGGACCCCACCTCTCCTGCCCCAGTGCCTAAGCAGGATGAATGCATGAATGAGTATTGTGTTGATCAGGGCAGGGGCTTACTGGGTGACCTAACTGCACCAAACTAGGGACCATAGCCAAAAGCCAAAGGCTGAACAGGTCCAGCAAAAGCCCTGCGGTTAGGCCAACATGGATAAAATCAGTGCACAGAGGCAAAGCAGTTGTCTTGACAATGCAGTAAAAATTGTTGAATAATTGAGCACTTACTATGTTCCAGCCACCAGCCCAAGCATTATATCATTTATTCCCAGAGCAGCCCTTGTGAGTAGATTATATGAACCCCCTTTATTGCTGATCATATTGAGACTTCGAAGGGTTAAATAACTCATCCTGGGTCACAGAGCCAGCAAGTGCTGGAACCAGGCGTGGATCTAGTTTTCTTGTCTATAAAGCCCTTGTTCTGATATTGAGGCACTGCTCACCTCACTTTATGGATGAAGGGAGTCTAGTGGCCTAGAGGGGCTGCAGGAGGAGTCTCACGGGCCAGTCTCTGGCTGTCCTTGGAGATCTTCAGAGGCTATGGTGGAGGGGGAGGCAGTGCCCAGTTTCCTTCTGGTCGTTGTTTTTCCTGTCCTGCCTTACACGCTGCCAAGGGGTTCGTGCCGAGCTGGGCTTGAGCCCAGGCGGAGGACAGAGCCAGGGAGGGCCCTCTTCCCTTCCGGCAGGGAGGAGGCGCCATGGTCATTTCCGAGACCAGCAGGCACGGAGGTGCTGGGCTGTCTGCCCCGCACGGAATTCCTGCTGGCAAAGTTCTCGCACCCGTGTAGGAGCCTCAGCCCTTCAGCTGAACCCCTGGGGTTCCCAGCCCAGGTTGGCCCACACTGGCTTTGAGTGACCTGAGCAAGTCACTTCTGCTCTGAGCTCCAGTTTCCTTGTCAGTAAAATGGGCACAGGATTAGGGTGAAGATGAATGAGTCTGGCACACAGTAGGTATTCACCAAACAGCAGCACCCAGCCCACGCGGGGACGGACTCTGGTTGCAATTTCGCGGCTTAGAAGGGCCATCCTTCCTTGTTCCCATAGGCCCCCTCTCCTGGCCCCCCACACTCAGCCAGCAGGGGACAGGACAGAGCGTGTCCTCCAGGAAATGCGGGGCTGTTGCTGTAGAGTCCCGGAACCAGGATGGGAGATCGCAGCTCTGTTAGCTTCTTTCTGTAGGGATGACTTGGATCCCTGCCCAGCCTTTGTCATTTCGGGCATGTTCTACATCCCAGACAATTGGAAATGGATCTCAGGATCACATTGTGACCTCCAGCCACTCATGTGCAGGCCCCGGGCCAAGACTTGTTGTGCAGCAGCTGGTTCAATCCTCCTGTTGGGCCTGTGAGGTTGGCCCTATCATTATTATTATTATTGTACCCATTTTATAGTTAAGGAGACCGAGACACAGCGGGGAAATGACCTGCTCAGGATCACATGCTGGTCACTGGCAGAGATGGGATCCGGTGGCGCCAGGGCTGCCCATCTTGCACTGGGTTTCTACTCCAGCTCACTCCCCTCTCTTTAAGATGAGTTTCTGGCCCTGCCACAGGCTCTTGTGAGGACTGGGCAAGAGGGTGGCTGGGAAAGAGGCTTTTGGAAGCATTAAAAGCCCCAGGTGAATGAAAGGCTTTCCTGAGAGCAGGTAGGGCCTTCACCACTTGCTGGGGCTGTGCTGCGATATAGACATTGGGAGCATGCGGTCCCTGGTGCCTCAGTTTACACATCTGTTAAGTGGGGGTGATAAGCTAAGACCCTGCCTGCCTCTGGGGTGCTCTGTGGCTGGTCAGTGGGGCTCGCGGTGGGGCCTGCTGTCCTCGTTCTGCTCACATCCTTCTCACCCCCACCCCGCCCAGGTCTCCAAGGACATCTCCATGCGCCTACACAAGGAGCTCGAGGTGGTGGAGAAGAAACGAGCGCGGCTGGAGGAGGAGAATGAGGAGCTGCGGCAGCGGCTCATCGAGACCGAGCTGGCTAAGCAGGTGCTGCAGACAGAGCTGGAGCGGCCGAGAGAGGTGAGGGCTTTGTCCACCCTGGCAGGGCCGGCCTGGGGCGGGCAGGCACGCACAAGCCCCACCTAGCCAGTGTCTCTCCCAACCGCTGCCTGCTTGTGGGAAATGGGGAGGTTATGCCTCCCTGTCAGGGTTGTTTATTGATTCCTTCCTCCAGCACGCATTTCCTGAGCACCTACTGTGTACGTTCTGTTTGGACACCAAGGATACAGTGGTGAACGAAGTACACCCAGTTCCTGTCCTCAAGGAGCTCACAGGCCATCAGAGAACCAGAGCTGCTGGGAAGTTAACTGAGAAAACATGCAGCAGTGTCCAGCATGGGACCCGGCCCTCTACACCTCAGTTTCCTTATCTATAAAATGGGGCAATAGTACCCTGAGTCATTGTGAGCACTAACTGGGAAAACTCGAGTGGAGACGGTGTAGGGAATGCCAAGTGCCGCCATTTGGTATGAAGTTGGTACTGTACTGAGCTGGGTCTTGGGCCAGTGTCCCTGGGGTACTAGATGCTTCCTGAATGTGACCCCCAGGCACCATCCTCTCCTTCTTTGCTCATGTCAGTTCCTCTTCCTGGCATAACTTCTCCTTCTTCTGCTGTGTGTTAGGTGTGCAGCGTATTACGCACCGTATTCGATAGCAATCATACCCATTTTATGGATGAGCAAACAGCCCCTGAAGGAGGCAGGGAGGGATGTCCTCAGGGTCGTGCAGGGCCCAGTGGACTCTGCAGAATGCTAATCGGAAACCATCAGTCTAGGTGACCCTTAAAGGCTAGAATCGTCCTGATTCCAGAGGTCTGTGTTCCAGACAGCCCTGGGGTAGCTTCTGGCTGCTTATAAGGTGTCCTAGGATGGTGCATTCTTCTAGGGCAGACGCCTTGCTGGAGGCGCTGCCTGCCCACTTCTCCAGAGGGCAGGCGTGCCAGTGTTCCAGGACTGAGACGCCACAGCCCAAGGCCAGAGCCGTCCTTCCCGCTGGGCATGTTGGTGTGATGTGCCAACACCTCCTCAGCATGGAGAGGAGGCATTTGCTGGCTGCTGTGCAGCCTCGCCCTGCTTCAGGGCTGGATGGCAGGTCCCTCTCTTCATGCAGCCTCCTGGCCACCATGGGCTGGCCTATAACACAGGACACCACCTTCACACCATCTTGTTGCTGCCACCCTTGGTGGTGAAAAGGGGAGACAATTTCAGAAAGCACCTGAGCAGTCAGGCTGTTCCTATTGCACATATGAGGAAACCGAGGCCCAGAGAGGAAGAACTTGCCAGAATTCACCCAGCCTTTGCTTAGCAGAGATGTGACTAAAACCCTGGAGCCACTTCCCACCTCTAAATCTCAGTTTCTCCATCCGTGATATCAGGATAGTAATCGTACCTAGCCTAAGGGGTTGCCTATAAGGTTGTTTAGGATCATTAATAAGATTGTGTAACCATAGGAGACTATGAAGAAGTTAAAAAGAATAAGGTAGTATGACAGTTCCTCAAAAAATCAAACAGAATTACAAGGTGATCCAGCAATTCCACTTCTGGGCACGTACCCAGCAGAACTAAAAGCAAGGACTCAAAGAGATATTTGTACACCATGTTCACGGCAGCATTTATAATAGCCGAGAGGTAGAAGCAACCCCAATGGTCATCCATGGATGAATGGATAAACAGTGTGGTGTGTACATATAATGGAGTATCATTCAGCCTTAGGAAGGAATGAAGTACTGACATGTGCTACAACATAGATGAGCCTTGAAAACATGCTAAGGCAGAGAAGCCAGGCACAAAAGGATGAATATTGTATAATTCCACGTAAATGAGATACCTAGAGTAGTCAAATTCATAGAGACAGACAGTGGAATAAAGGTTGCCACGGGCTGGAGGAGAATGAGGAATTATTGTTTAATGGGGACAGAGCTTCAGTTTGGGTTGATGAAGAATTTCTGGAGAGGGATGATGGTGATGGTTGTATAGCAGTGTCGATGTACTTAATGCCACTGAACTGTAACACTTAAAAATGGTTAAAATGGTAGACTTTATATTGTGTATACTTTACCACATTAAAAAAAAGAAAAGGTAGGTATATATGTACTGATATGGAAGGATCTCCAAGGTACATTATTAAGTGGGAAAAGAACATTAATGGAACTATACATATTGTGTGGCCTCACTAAGTATTTTGAGAAGCCATACAAATCAGACTGGATTTGAAGCACATGTGTATGTGTGTAAATGCATAGCAGAAGTCCAAGGGAGACCTGCTGGTCTGAGGAGCTAGAAATGGTGGGAGTAGGATAGGGAATGACTTTCACTTTTCATGCTGTTAACGCTGTAGTTGGGGTTTTTGTTTTTTTTAACAATAAGAATGTATTTGGGCATTATTTGTGAAATTTTAAATGCAGTCATCCTTGTAAAGAGCACTTTATGGTGCCTGGCACAGAGTAGGTGCTCAAGAAACGCTGGTTCACTTCCCCTCTGAGGCTGGTCCAGCCCTCTGTGTGCCCTGTGGTGTCTCAGGATCGTACACAGGATGCAGGAGTCTGTGTTTATTTGCTGTTTGTTGTCTCCCTCCTCCCTCTCCTTCCTGACATTGGTTTCTATGGAGACAAGGGTCCCTTAGCAATTCTTTTGCCAGAGCTACAGTCCTGTCATCAAGATCTGCCTTTACCATCCTGACAAGTTGCTGAGGCGATGCTGTCACTCGGCTGGGAACAGGAGCCCCTGGCCTGAGCTGATGTGGTTGCCATGGAGACAGCTCTGTGCTAGAGAGAAGGGAGGTGGCAGGCCCCAGCCGAGAGCGCTGCGGTGGCACTGTTGCCCAGCTGGGCTGCAGCTCAAGAATCGTAACACCAGCCACCCTCTCGTCTGGTATCGTTCCCCCTCCTTGTAATTTAGGCAGAAAGCCAACATCAGTGTTGACGTGATTTATTACAACATAGCTGCTGTGTCGGAGCACTTACTCTGTTCCAGGCACCACACCGGCATTGCACACGCGTTTTCACACTGCTTAACCCTCCCCGCAGCCTCCCCACATACATAGGGTCCTTGTCCCCGTTTTATAGGTGCCACTCTTTCCTTGGCTATTTTTTAATTGCAATTTAATTCACGTACCATACAGCTCACCATTTTAAATTGTATAATTCCGTGATTTTTAGTCTACTTATGATGTCGTGCAAACCATTGCCATTGTCTAATTCCAGAACATTTCCGTTGCCTCAGAAAGTAACCCCGTACCTGTAAGCAGTCACTCCCACTGCCCCTTTCCTCCAGTCCCTGGCAACCACTAATCCTCTTTCTGTCTCTATGGATTCGCCTGTTCTGGACATTTCATTCAAATGAAATCGTGCAATATGTGATCTTTGATGACTGGCTTCTTTCACTTAGCAAAAGGTTTTCAAGGTTTATCCATCCATGTTGAAGAAGGTATCGGGACTTCATTCCTCTTTATGGCTGGATAATGATCCGTTGTACGGTATACCACGTTATATTTGTCCCTTCATCAGCTGATGGACATTTGGGTTGTTTCCACCTTTTGGCTATTATGAATAATGCCACTGTGAACATTCACGTACAAGTTTCTGCGATTGTGTGTTCTCCGTTCTCTTGGGTATATACCAAGGGGTGGGATTGCTGTATATAGATGGGGCTGGAGAAGGACAAAGATGGGATTCAAACCCGGGACTCTGTGTCTCCCAAACCCACGCTGACTCTTGTGGTGATGCCGCTGCCCTCCTTGCCCCACCCAGGGGCTTTCCTAGGATGCTGTTGTGTTTTCAGAACCTTCGATGAGGCTGCCCACTGCATGAATACTCCCCTTTCTGCACAGCCTTCCCTTACAGATTTTCCATCAGGAAAGGACACCGACCATGGTGTCAGACCGCTGTGTTCAAATCCCTGTTCTGCTGTTGCCACTTATTTGCAAATGACTATAATCTTGGGAAAATCGTGTAACTGTTCTGGTCCTCAGTTTGTTTATTTATAAAAGGGGATTGTTAATCCCTGTTCTCCGAGGTATTTGTGAGAATTAAAGAGGACAAGCAGGTAAAATGCTTAGCTCGTTCAATACTTACTATTATCGGTACCTTGCAACCACTGCGATGGCTGCGGGGCTGCAGAAGCGTCGACCTTAGTTAAATATGTACGTTGCTGCTGCCTCTTGTGAGCAGCTCTCGATGTAGAGCTGCCAGTTGCCCGTGGAAGGAGCAGCTATGTTGACATCATTGCCTGCAGTTGGCACCGTCTGTCCCTGTGACATTTGATTTGGGGCTAATGTCTAAACCACTCTTTGTTTCCTCCCCCAAATGGTCTCCCCCTAACTGGGAGCCACACGGCCTCTCTGACTGGCTGTTTCGGCTACTGTGGGGGAAGAATGCCTCGGTCTTTGAGGTGCACCCTCACCGCAGGTTCCTTCTAGAGTAAATTTGTATATGAAGTGTTGTCTGTGCTTTCAGTGAGACCTTTCCAAACATCCCCTCCACATTTGGTGAAAACCTGCCCGGCTGTTTTGGCAGAAGGTTTGTTTGTGCCTGGGAAGGTCAGCCTTTGTTTCTTGGCTGAGTGGACACGTGGAAGGTGTCAGAGAGCAGAGGGCCCTCAGAGCTGTGCTCAGACAGCTCTCTGCTGGGCTGCACAGGGCTCCTGGGGAGGAAGCATGGGGGAGGACACAGCTCAGGCCTCTACTAGGACCCCTTAGACCAGGGATGCTCGGAGGCACCACCCTGGCTGCTCAAAGGCGGCCTTGTGGGCCTCGTGAGTTGCGGGTGGGTGGGAAGGCGCCCGCTGCATGGCTGCGTGCCAGGCCACAGTGTGTGCCCTCAGGGCCAGGCACTTCCCTGGGCCTTGCCTCTCGGCTGCATTCCTGCTGGTACCTGGAGCTGCCCTGCCTGTTCCACCCTCCTGGGGCCCAGGGCCAGAACATCTGCCTCTTGGGCAGGGACTGGCTCCACCCCCAGGGGCTCCACAAAGGGGCTCTGACAGGCCCTGGCTCCATTGAAGGGCGGCTCCCCCCCAGCCGCCTGGCCAGCTGCTGCCCTGCAGAGGGGAGGAAGGTCTTTGTGCACTCTGAGCCTGCCTTGTTTTCCCTCTAGAGCAGCAGGGCAGTGTGGGAGCCCCTGTGGCTTAGACGAGGTGGGGGAAGGGGCAAGTCCAGCCAGAAAAGGCTGGAACCCTATACTCTGCCCCCACCCTCATTTCTGGGTAAGTTCAAGCCACCCAGCTCACTCTCACCTTTTCTCTGCTGTTGGAAAGGTGTTCAGTGAAAGTACATTTTAAAAACATTTACTGTGACGTTCCCCTCCCCCACAGCAGGTAGAGGCACACACTTAGCAGAGGAAGACTGGAAAGTACAAATAAGCCATAAAGAAAAACACCTTACCTGCAATCCAGAGTATTCAGAGGGAATTTCTATTTAGGTTGGGGGTGGGAGTCACATGTACTTCCAATAAGTTTTTCTATGTGTACATACACACATATTTAAATGTATGTGTGAATATGCATTTTTCATCTAAAAAAGTAATATAAACTCAGCGAAGCAAAAAATATCATTACGAAAGCATACAAATGCATGCCTAGTATATCTCTGTGGAAGGCTACAGCAGACCCTGGTTACGTTGGTTGCCTTGGGGCAGGAGAAGAGGGTGACTGGGTCTGTTGTATTCCTTTTTGTATTTTCAGAATTTTGAACCATGCGAATGTGTCATCTATTCAAAAATAATACAGATGATGATAAACCATACATAAAGTAAAAGCAGAAAGCTTTCCCTATCTACCTCCTTTGATTCTACTGCTCAGCCTAAGCCATGATCAGCAATTTGCCTTGTATCTTTCCAGACCTTTCTCCATGCTCATATAATGCATATTTCTATGTATTTTTTCTTTTTTAAAATAAAGATGGAATTATATTGTACGCTGTTTCCGTAATGTGCAGAATAATATAGCATGAACATGGACACTTTTTTAAAAAATGCTCGATGTTTGTTTTTGGTTTTCTTCTGCCCAAAGTGCTTATTATAAAAATCAAAGATCACAGAATCAAATAAACATGGGAAGGAAAGAAAATCTAAAATAGTACCATCTATTTCAGTATTTTAAACACAGAGCCAAAGGTCCAGAAGGAGCCCCTGCAGACCAGTCAGCAGTGGGCACCCTGGGTGGCTGTAGAAAGAGAGACTTTGGCTTTATCTGCTCTGTGTACATTTTGTACAGTGAGAATATATTTTGTATATTGGGTTTTTTTGAACAAATACCGTATAATTAAAAAAAATTTTTTTAAGGAAAAAATCTGGAAGACTATATTCCCCTTCCCCACCTCCACTAAAGTTGAGGGGAAAACATACAAGGTGTGAATCCCTTGTGTTCTTACTATTATCAGCCTGCTGTATATTCTTCTGACCTTCCCCCCACGTAGGTACTAACACACATAGATACAAATACACACATCATATTTTTGTACAATGGAAACATGCTGTAGGGTTTTTTTTTTTGTAACAGTTTTATTTTATTTGTTTGTTTATTTATTTATTTTTGAGACAGAGTCTTACTCTCTTGCCCAGGCTAGAGTGTAGCAGTGTCATCATAGCTCACTGCAACCTCAAACACCCGGGCCTAAGAGATCCTCCTGCCTCAGCCTCCCACGTAGCTGGGACTACAGGCATGCACCATGATGCCTGGCTAATATTTATATTTTTTGATAGAGACGGGGGCTCTTGCTCTTTCTCAGGCTGGTCTTGAACTCTGGCCTCAAGCAATCCTCCTGCCTCGGCCTCCCAGAGTGCTAGGATTACAGGCGTGACCCACTGTGCCTGGCCATAGTAACAGTTTTATTGAGATATAATTCACATACCATGAAGTTTGCCCTTTTTTTTTTGAGACAGAGTCTCACTCTGTTGCCCGGGCTAGAGTGCTGTGGTGTCAGCCTAGCTCACAGCAACCTCAAATTCCTGGGCTCAAGCGATCCTCCTGCCTCAACCTCCCGGGAAGCTGGGACTACAGGCATGCGCCACCATGCCCGGCTAATTTTTTCTATTTTTAGTTGTTTGGCTAATTTCTTTCTATTTATGGTAGAGACGGGGTCTCACTCTTGCTCAGGCTGGTCTCGAACTCCTGAGCTCAAGCAATCCTCCCGCCTTGGCCTCCCAGAGTGCTAGGATTACAGCACTACAGCTGTACAGCTGAGTAGATTTTGGTATATTTGGTACATTTGCAGAGTTGTGCAACCATCACCACTCTTAGAACATTTTTGTCACCCTGTTCCTCTAAAGAGACTGGTACCTATTAAGAGTCACTCCCCATTCTGCCCTCCCCCAGCTCTTGGCAACCGTTAATCTACTTTCTGTCTTTGTGGATTTGTTTATTCTGGACATTTCATGCCAGTGGAATCATAGGATATGTGGCCTTTAGCGACTGGCTTCCTTGACTTAGCGTGATGTCCTCAAGGGCCATCCATGTTGCAGCACGCGTTAGGACTTCATTCCGCTCTATGGCTGAGTAATATCGCAGTGTGTGGATAGGCCACGTTTGGATTATCCATTCATCAGTTGGTGGATATAGTTGGGTTGTAGGTTTTGTTTTGCAGGTTACTTCTTTCCCTTAACGGGGTGTCTGAGGGACTTTACCATGTCCTCGAATCTCATCAGTCCGTCTGTGTTGCCTGGGGCCCCTCAGTGCCTCTGGAGACCCCTGACTTGCCTCTCTGCCACTGCTCTTCCTTCCTCTGGGGAGTCTGCAGTGCGGTGGTCACCTAGTCCATGGCCCAGTTTTATGGATGAGAAAGTGGAATTTCAGGGAGAGGAAGGGATTTACGCGGGATCATAAACTCAGTGTTGTGGGGGTCCCCAGAGTTCAACTCCTAGCAGAGGCCACAGCCCCTCCCACTCAGCTTGTGGTAGGTGGGCCCAGATCTGGAAGCCTGAGCATCTGACCCCGGAGCCCCCCCCTCAGCACTCCACTCGGGCTCTCCCTCTAAGGCTGGGACTTGTCTGCTGTCTCCTGGCTCTTGAGGAAGGACTTGTTTTGTGACCCTCCCCACCATTCCTCCTCTTCCCTTCTAGCTTTTCAATGTTCCCAGGTCAGCTTTGCTCAAATACTTGCTCCCTTGGCACCCTCATCTGAAATATCAGCCTCTGCCTTCCTGCCTCGTTTGCATTTCAAAAGGTCTCTTTAGGATTTGATTGGGCCTTAAGATATTCTGTACTTAAGAGCCCATCTGGAGTTCCTTTCCCTGGCACAGTGGAGCCAACCTGCACTTTTGAATCACTTGGGAAGCTATTTAGAAATACTGTTGCCTGAGACCTACCCCAGACCATCAGTATGTTTTTTTTAAGTTCCCCCAGGTAATTCCGATGTGCACCCAGGGTGGGAGCCATGGTGCTAGCTGCACTCTGCCCCTCATCAAAGAAGACAGATTTTCTCCTACCAAGTCTTTGGAATTTGATCAACAGCCATGTCAAGAACTGGTCCCAGGTCAGCTATGGATTTGCTGTGGGACCTTGAGCAAGTCCCTGCCCCTCTCTGTCTGTTTCAGTAAAGTGGGGCTTGGATTAGATCAGTGGCTCTCACCTTCAGGGATGGGGTGTGAGAGGTGGGGGTTGGGAGTAGGCATGTATCCAGATCACTTGGGACCATTTTGAAAAATATACCAGCCCAACTTAAAGTCAAAAGCAACCTAAGCGTGGTTTTGTACACCACCAACATGAATCACCCTTCTCTTGGGAGGAAGTGTTCGAATGGAATCATGCATCTTAATTGAAGGACTTTTTTAGACAGTGGGAAACTTCAGTAATGATTATTTTAACATTTCCCCAAATTCCCCAACATAGAGATTATGCCATTTTGCATTCTTGCCAGCAATTTATGAACATTCTTGTTTCTCCATAGCTTCACCAGTAGAATACGTTGTCATATAATTTGGATTTTTGCCAATCTGATAGATGGGAAATGGTATCTCAGCATAGTTATAATTTGCATTTCTCTATCATGAGTAGGGTGATATGATTAAGATCCATTTTTCTTTCCTGTGAATCATTTTTCATATCTCTGACCTATTTTCCTATAGGTTTATTGGCCTTTTTATTCTATTTGTGAAGCTCTTTACATATTTAGGAAATCAACCCTTTATTGGTGTTATAAAATGCAAGCGTGTTTTCCTAGTTTGTCATTTATATTTTTGCATGTCTTAGGGTGTTTTTTTTTTCCATGTAGAGTTTGCTTGAGTAATTAAATGGATCAGTTTTTTCCCCCTATTGCTTCTGGATTTTTGAATCATGATTTGCCATGAGTCTCTCATGATAATTCTAAGCCTCCTGTATAATTATGATTTGTTGTACTCATATTCATTTTCTTTATTAGTATTCACTCTGAATTAAAGTTCCCAGTAGGTGTCAGTTGCAGGAGACCAGGATTCCCTCTGAGATGGAGATTTGCATGCAGAGGTTTATAGAAGCGTCCCCTTGAGAATGACACTGTCCATCCAGGGAGGGCACCTGACCTTGGACCCTCAGCCAGTGGCCGTTGCTGCGAGGGGCACTCAGCTTTGAGGTCTTAGCTGGGGAGTGAGTGTCTCGGTTCTGATGGGGGGATCTGGGCCAAGCACCCCAGCACTCTGCCTGGGTACCTAGGCTTGTTCACTGCCACGTTCTGTACAGCTAACTGCCTGGCACATGATAGATGCTCAGGAAATCTTTGATGAATGAATGAAAGACAAACAAGAACAGAAACCCAGATTTCCAGGTCTTGGCACAGACCAGCAGGGTCACAATGTGGAGGTGAGAGAGAGGGGAGGAACCTGCACACTCCGGTGCTCTGGCATGTCCCCTTTTGCAGCCCACTGGGAGGTCTCAGGGGCCCCTCCAGCTCCCTGTTGGTGCTGGTCAAGGCCTGGACCGGGGCAGGGGTGGAGCCCTCCGTGTGACTGTAGGCACCATGACTTCTTTGGACGTGCATCACCCCTGTGAGCTTTCAGTTCTGACTTTTTTTTTATCTCCCCATAGCATTCCTTGAAGAAAAGAGGAACCCGCTCCCTGGGGAAAACAGATAAGAAGCCTTCGGTGCAGGTACTTCCCAGCAGCCCCCACGGGCAGGTTTTAGTCTGAAGGCTCAAGCCTGACTCCACGTGGCCTGAGGAGTCCCCAGAGGTGCCCACCCCTCCCCAGCTTCCATTTTCTTGTTCATTTTCTTAGCTTTGCTGCCCACTTCACTTCCCCAAACCACACCTTGAGCCCATGGTTCTTAGACGCTCAGACTCCCCCAGGAGCAGCAAGCTGACTTACAAAACAGCACAACAGTCAAATCCAAAGGTCTAGAGTCAGACACTCGGATTTGACTCTGGACTCTTCCGCTTGACTGCCATGTGACTGGGGCAAGTCACTTCACTTTCTGGCCTCCGTTTCCCCATCTGTCCCTATCTTGTGGGTTCGTTGTTAGAATTAGATAAAGTATGTGTATAGCACAGGCCAGGCATAGAGTACTGTCAGCTCCTAGGGGTGCTGGGCTGTCTCAGGGTGCCAGGCCCTTTTTGTTAAATTATCTCAGTTAATCCTCTCCATGGTTCTGGGAGGGAGGGACTGTTACTGTCCCATTTTGCAGATGAGGAAACTGTAGTACAATGGTAGCAGTAGCTGCGGTCACCCATCAGAATGTCACCTGCTCCCAGCCTCCCAGGCTGTGTGTGGCGCTCCATCCTTGCTGCATTATCAAGGTTATTGCAATCTCTGCTTCCCTTCTGGACCCCCAGCTCCTTGAGGGTTGGGCTATGGCTGATTTATTTCTGTGATCTCAGCACACAGTGTCCCCCATAAAGCCATGGCTGGTCCTAAGCCTCCCAGCACTGACCTTCCCGGTTGTTTGTGCCTGTCTGTCCCTGTGCGGTCGGGCCCCAGGAGGACAGTGCAGATCTGAAGTGCCAGCTGCACTTTGCCAAGGAGGAGTCGGCCCTCATGTGCAAAAAGCTCACCAAGCTCGCCAAGGAGAACGACAGCATGAAGGAGGAGCTGCTCAAGTACCGCTCGCTCTACGGGGACCTGGACGGCGCCCTGTCGGCGGAGGAGCTAGCGGATGCCCCGCACTCACGGGAGGCCGAGCTGAAGGTGCACTTGAAGCTGGTGGAGGAGGAAGCCAACCTGCTGAGCCGCCGCATCGTGGAGCTGGAGGTGGAGAACCGAGGCCTGCGGGCCGAGATGGACGACATGAAAGACCACGGGAGCGGCTGCGGGGGCCCCGAGGCCCGCCTGGCCTTCTCCACGCTGGGGGGCAGCGAGTGCGGGGAGAGCTTGGCGGAGCTGCGGCGACACTTGCAGTTCGTGGAGGAGGAGGCGGAGCTGCTGCGGCGCTCCTCGGCCGAGCTGGAGGACCAGAACAAGCTGCTGCTGACCGAGCTGGCCAAGTTCCGCTCCGAGCACGAGCTGGACGTGGCGCTGTCGGAGGACAGCTGCTCCGTGCTCAGCGAGCCCTCGCAGGAGGAGCTGGCTGCTGCCAAACTGCAGATCGGCGAGCTCAGCGGCAAGGTCAAGAAGCTGCAGTACGAGAACCGCGTGCTGCTGTCCAACCTCCAGCGCTGCGACCTTGCCTCCTGCCAGAGCACGCGGCCAATGCTGGAGACGGACGCCGAGGCTGGGGACTCCGCCCAGTGTGTGCCCTCTCCCCTTGGCGAGGCCCACGAGCCCCACGTGGCCCGGCTCTGCAGAGCCAGGGAGGCAGAGGCGCTGCCTGGACTGAGGGAGCAGGCCGCCCTGGTCAGTAAGGCCATCGACGTCCTGGTGGCGGATGCCAACGGCTTCTCGGCTGGCCTCCGACTGTGTCTGGACAATGAGTGTGCTGACAACAGCGAGGGCCCCAGGGACGCCAAGCTCATCCATGCCATCCTGGTGCGGCTGAGCGTGCTGCAGCAGGAGCTCAACGCCTTCGCGCGGAAGGCAGACGCCGCCCTTGGAAGCTCTGCCAAGGAGCAGCCAGAGCCCTTCTCGTCCCTGCCCGCCTTGGGCTCCCAGGGGCCCTCCAAGGAGATTCTTCTGGCCAAAGACCTTGGCTCAGACTTCCAGGTAAGATGTCCCAGCCATAGGCCCTATTCCTTTTTTTTAAACGTTATGTATATAAACATTTTAACTGAACCATAACACACAGACCAGGAAGGACACGAGCGCAAGTGTACAGCTTCACGAATGTTCCCCATGAACACCCTCCTGTAATGACCACCCAGAACTAGAACATGAGCAGCACCCAGAAGCCCCCCGTGCCCCCTTCTAGTTACCATCCCTGCTCCCAAGGGTAGCCCCTATCTTGCTTTAGTCTTGTCTGTCCGTGAACTTTACATACATTGAACCACACGGTATGCACCGGTGCCTGGCCACTAAGCCTGTGTGAGTTGTTGCATGGAGCAGTGGTTGGTTTATTCTCGTTACTGGATACAGTCCCACTGAGTGACTATACCACAAATCACTTGTTTTATAGATATTGGGGTTGATTCTGAGGCCCCAGGTGTTTGCCAGGTTGCCCTTTCTGTTTTTCTTACCTCTTTTGAATTTTGTATTTGAAAACAAGTTTTTGTTTTTTTTTTTTAAAGAAATCTTGGGTCAGGTTCTATGTAAAGGCAAGGAACTTGGCTTTCTAAAGGTAATGAACTTCCAGCCTTGACGTCTGTAAAATACTACTTAGAAAAACGAAAATAGCAAAGATACTTGTCCAAAAAAAAAAAAGTATTATTGCAGAAATAATATATAAACATTCAAAGAGTTTCAGACATTTCTGAGGTAAAAAGTGAAAACTTTGCCCCTTCCCACTTCCTACTGGTACCACTCTTCACAGTTTGGAGTGGTGCTGTCCTGTATGGTAGCCACTGCCACATGTGGCTACTTAAATTTAAATTAATAACAATTATATGCAGTTGAAAATTCAGTTCCTCAGTCCCAATAGCCACATTTCTAGTGCGTGGTAGTCATGTCTGTCCAGTGGCATAGATCTAGAGTATTTCATCCTTATAGTGTATTTTTCTCAATCTTTTTGTACATGTACCATCATATATTTGCTTTTCCACCCAACTTGTATGATGTACACACGGTTTATGTTTCTCATGTAACGTATCAGTTTGTTCATTTGTTTGTGATGCTTTGTTTGTTGTTCACACACCTTTTGTGCTTGGTGCTAGAGGTGTCAGGGTAGGCAAAACCAGAGAGGATTCCTGCTTTCATGACCTTTATCAGGTCGTAGGGAAGAATTAACCAAAATAGCATGCCAAGGAATGTGCACTTACAAACTGGGAGGAGGGATCTGAAGGAAAAGTACATGGTTTTATGAATAAGGAACTTGACATAGACCCCAGGTCAGGCAGGCCTCTGACCTCAGGTCAGAGGGATGGGTTGGTGGGGGAAGAGAGTTCTTGGCAGAAGGAACATTCTGTGCAAAGGCACAGCTCAGACCAGAGGCAGGAGCGTGGTGTGTCCAAGGGCCTGATTGAAGAGAAGGCACGAGGCTGGGGTGCAGAGAGCACTGGGGAGGTTTGATCCTCATCCTGAGAGCAATGGCAGGAATCTTTCCATTTCCAGAGAAGGAGAGAGATTGAGCTCTTTCTTTCTAACAACTACACCACGGAACTGTGCCATAATTTCTTTATACTCGTGCCCTGTTGGTCTGGCTTGTTCTCGCTTTTTTAAGGGAGCAGACTGCCCCATGTTGAGTCTACCTCTTGGTTCTTCTAGAAGGAGGAATGATCCAGGGGCCATGTGTGTGATAGGACAGTGGGGCTGGCTCAGTTTGTGCACAAGATAGACATTCACAAAATCGGTGTGTTCACTCACCACTTACCTACGTTCTCTCAGCAAACATTCATCGAGTAGTAGCAGGGCCCCTAGCCAGGGCTGGGTCTGGGTTGCAGAGGTGGTAGGTGGTCAGAGCCTCTTATGGAGCCAGGAGGCCTGGGGTGGGGGCTGTTTCTGGCACAATTCAGTCCCCTCCCCGTAGTTATCTTTGGTCTCTTCTGCCTGTGCCTCTGGATATAGCCACCTGACTTTAGGGATCTGCCAGAATGGGAGCCCAGGATCCGAGAGCCCTTCCGCAATGGTGACTTGGACTCCAAGCCTGACCCCAGCCGGAGCTTCAGACCTTACCGAGCTGAAGACAATGATTCCTACGCCTCTGAGGTGGGTCTAGGCCTGAGCAAGCAGGGGATTGGGTAGGAGGAAAGTGGCCAGGGTCTCCTCCAAACAGAGTGATGCATGGAGAATGTTAGCTAGTGATGATAATGGGTTTTGAGCATTCCATTTGGTTCCAAGCTTCCTGGCAGCCAGGGCAAAAAGGGAAATAAGGAAGTTTGAGCCATTCTCATAGCCTGATCAAAGGAAATTTATAAACTCATCTGAAGAAATTGATTTTTTTATTAAATCTACTGGTAATTTAATAATTTATGTCATTTAACGGAAATACTAATTTATGTGGCAGGAAGACAGCAGTCTCTACACTCAGGCTGTTTGGGTTTAAATCCACTCTTCGCTGGCTGTGAAATCTTGGATAAATCGTTTCACTGAGAATCATTTCTGATTCTTGGTTTTCTTACCTGTAAAATGAAGGTGCCTCGTGAGGTTGTTGAAAGGATTAAATTCACAAAAAACCTTAGCTTAAGACCTGGTCCATGTTGGGAGAGGATGTCGATGATGATGATGATGATGATGATGATGATACATCATGGGGACTCAATGGACCTGAATTCAAGTCTCAGTTCTGTCTGAGTGGCTGTGTGACCTTGGGCATGTTCCTCCCCTCTGGCCGCAGCTTCCTTGTCTGTAATACGGGAGGGTTAGCGTGAGTGGTGCTATAGAACCGTTAGGATTCTCTGGTCCTTGAGAAATTCTGGGTGGTTCTGAGCCCCTCCCAAGCCTACCGAGCCTCTCGTCAGCTTCTCTTAATGAACCCGAAGCTGGAAAAGGCTCCTGTGGACCGGGTGGGGTATCCCCGTGACTCCTGCACCATGGAGGGTCCTGTGCATATCCCAGCCTGAGCACCCTTTTCTTCTGAGCGTCCCTGGGAAGACAACTCTGGTCCCAGGAAGGCCAGCCCATAACCATGTAGGGAGGAGAAACTTCCTTCAAGCTGATGGGTCAAACTCACTAAGTTAGGTGGTCTGAGCTTCCTAAAAGCCATGGCAAAAAGAGAAGAAAATGAAATACTTAGTTCTCATTTTCTGAGAGAAAGGAAATAGGCCTATCCCTATAGGCTCACTTGTAGAGAGAATAACTTCCTGCATGCATTCAATCATTGTTTCATTCAGCCGCTGTTTACTGAGCAGTTTAATTGCCCAGCCTCATGTTGAACGCTGAGTTCAAGGAGGATACCAGAGAGAGAGCACAGTAGTTAGCCCTGCAAGGATTTTTTTAATATTTGATCATTTATTTATGCCTTCAAAACATCTAAAGCTGGTGTGACTTGTGATCCATAGAATATAACCGTGAACATCTGGTCCATCGTTCATTCAACACATATTGGCTGGGTACCTCCCAGGCTAGGTGTGACAGATGACAGTCCAAAGACAAGCACATTCCACATCCTTCATGGAAGGAACATAATATTCTCAGAGCAAACAGGAAAAGAAGGACAAAAAATATATATACAAAGGAGATAATTGGAGAGCTCGGTAAGAAAATAAAAGAAATAAGGGATAAAGCAAAAAATGCAAAGTCCTAAGAGGGATTGAGTTCAGGAGACCACCTCCGTCTCTCTCCATTGCTAATGTCTGGGAGACATCGACCTGCGAGGATTTTTAATACAAAACAGGTGTACAGGATATACCTCAAGTCAGCGTGCCTCCCATTGCCAAATTATCACATTATTGGCCATATAATGTAAATGTTTATTTTCTTTCACAAAGGGACATCTGCCATGCCTGGCAAGATTTTATGCAGGAGTTGGGGCTAACATTTCCCTGCCCTCTTTTTCCCCTTGCTTAATATGATAGTGTAAACATTTTCCTCTGTTACCTGACATACTTAAAAAAAAATGTTATCGAGGGCAGGGCGCAGTGGCTCACGCCTGAAATCCTAGCTCTCTGGGAGGCCGAGGTGGGTGGATCGCTCAAGGTCAGGAGTTCGAGACCAGCCTGAGCAAGAGCGAGACCCCGTCTCTACTAAAAATAGAAAGAAATTATCTGGACAACTAAAAATATATATATAGAAAACATTAGCCGGGCATGGTGGTGCATACCTGTAGTGCCAGCTACTCTGGAGGCTGAGGCAGGATGGCTTGAGCCCAGGAGATTGAGGTTGCTGTGAGCTAGGCTGACACCACGGCACTCTAGCCAGGCCAACAGAGCCAGACTCTGTCTCAAAAAAAAAAATTAAAAAAAAAAAAATGTTATCGAATATAACACACATGCAGAAAAGTGCTCATATTGTTAAGTCAACAGCTCAGATAATTCTTACAAACCAAACAGTCCTGTGTAATTAGCACCCAGAGAGACCCAGAAACAGAGCAGAACCTGCCCCCAGAGGTCCCTGTGTGCTCTTCTAGTCACCATCTGTACTTCTACCCGAATAGGTTAATTTTGCCTGTTTAGCTACAGATTTTTAAAACACAGTTTCCCCACCAAAATGTAGTTTTATCTTTTTCTTAAGATCTTTTTACATAGTCATTATAAACAATAAATAACTACAACAAGATCCCTAAGTAGCACTGTATAAAGATAGAAGGAAGAAAGTCAACATTACAAGATCTTCATGTAGTCAACCACTGTTTACATTTAGCATTAGTCCATGTCCTTTATTTGTTTTTCTATTGAAGTATATGTCTTTTTTTTGGTTTGTTTTTTTACTTTCTGTTGAAGTGTAATATAATAATACACACACAATAAAAGACAGTGGCGGCCGGGTGCGGTGGCTCACGCCTATAATCTCAGCACTTTGGAAGCCAAGGTAGGAAGATCACTCGAACCCAGGAGTTCGAGGCTGCAGTGAGCTGTGATTGTGCCATTGCACTCTAGCCTTGGTGACAGAGTGAGAACCTGTCTCAAAAAAAACCAAAAAAACCAAAACGCTGTCCTTAATTGTACAGTTGAGTGGGTTTTTACGTATGTATAGATCCATTAAACACACTTTAGTCCCTGTCATTTATTATCTAAGTTTCTAAAACTTCGCAGTTATAAACAATGAGACTGAATATCTTTGTGAATCAAACTTAGGTTTCACAGCATATTGTTTTCTTCACATAAATTTCAAAGAGAGATGATCAAGGTAAAATGATAACAATAGCTAGATTCGATACGCAGCGTTTCATTTAATCGTCCTGCAGCCCACAGAGGTGGGCTGTGCCTGATTTGTGCGTGGGCAGCTTGGGTCTGATTGACTGTGGCTCCCCTACCACTCCGATCCTTAGCTCACAGCTTCTGTCCTCTTCCTCCTCTCTCTCCCTCCTTCTTATCTGTGTCCCCTGTCCCCACCCTAGATCAAGGAGCTGCAGCTGGTGCTGGCTGAGGCCCATGACAGCCTTCGGGGCTTGCAAGAGCAGCTCTCCCAGGAGCGGCAGCTACGGAAGGAGGAGGCTGACAACTTCAACCAGAAAATGATCCAGGTGCGTGCTGCCCAGCGCTTTCCATGCATCTACTCCAGCAGCCTCTCCGAGCTGGAGGCAGAGGCCGTGGGGATCCAGCGGTCCTCAGAAGGCGGGAATGTCAGCCCCCATGCCCTGCTGGGTGTTCCTGCACTTGTGGTTGTGCATTAGCTGTGTTGGGCTGGACCTGTCATTGGCTGCCTATGTGACCTTGGGCCAGTCCTGTTTTCTCTCAGGACAACCTGAGTTTCCCATCTATGAGATGGTGCCCCCATTAGGGTTGGCTGCTAATCAAGATAATAGGGCTGGGCATGGTGGCTCAAGCCTGTAATCCTAGCACTCTGGGAAGCCGAGGCAGGACGATCGCTTGAGGCTAGGAGTTCGAGATCAGCCTGAACAAGAGCGAGACCCCATCTCTACTAAAAATAGAAAAAATCAACCAGGCGTGGTGGTGCGTACCTGTAGTCCCAGTTACTTGGGAGGCTGAGGCAGGAGGATGGCTTGAGCCCAGGAGGTTGAGGTTGCAGTGAGCTATGATGCGCCACTGCGCTCTAGCAGTGGCGTCATCTCGCTCTAGCGGGACCCTGTCTCCAAAAAAAAAAAAAAATCCTGGAATGGCATTTATTAAGCCCTTACTGTATACCAGGCCTGTGCAATGCACTTTCTACACATTACGTCCTGTAGTCCTCTTGCCCTTCCCTGTGAGGTGTCCCCATTTTACAGATGGGGAGACTGATGCCCGGATAGGTAAAGTGCTCTGCCAAGGGTTACACATCCAGAGCAAAGTGGGGCTGGGACTGGAATCCAGGTCCCTTTTGGCCATGACATTGCATTGCTTTCTAGGGCATTGCATGTTTGTCAGCCTTCCTCAGTCCCAGCAGGCCCTTTGCCCTCCACGTGAGTCACCCTCCCTGCCATCATCACTCACCCCTGTGGCTTCCTCATTGAATGGGAAAGCTCATGTGAAACACTGGGCGCCCAGTAGGTGCTCACTGTTGATGTCATGGTTTTTGCAGTCAGACAGAGCCATCGTCCCTGTGGCTACTGCTGCTTTTATGAGCTTCCCTTCCCCAGAGGAGCAGAGGGCAATGCTTATTTCAGTAGAATGAGCTGCTAGAGGTGGGATCCCGGGCAGCGATCACCCACAGGCCCCTCGTGGATTTAACCCTCTGCCCTTGTCTGGGGTCTGCATGGGGTGGGGTAGTGCGGCCAGCGAGCGGAGCTTGCTCAAGCTCTTGTCCCCCTGCAGCTGAAGGAGGACCAGCAGAGGGCGCTCCTGAGGCGGGAGTTTGAGCTGCAGAGTCTGAGCCTCCAGCGGAGGCTGGAGCAGAAATTCTGGAGTCAGGAGAAGAACATGCTGGTGCAGGAGTCCCAGCAGTTCAAGCACAACTTCCTGCTGCTCTTCATGAAGCTCAGGTGGTTCCTCAAGCGCTGGCGGCAGGGCAAGGTTTTGCCCAGCGAGGGGGATGACTTCCTTGAGGTATGGTTGAGCCCGGGCCTGGGACTGACACTGTGGTGGGGAGGGCAGGGAAAGGGATAGGGAAGGGACACTCAGCTGGTGTTTACACAGCTCTGAGGCCCATATCTGTGCTGTCAGTTTGCAGGTTTCCTTCCGCGCATTCATGGGCTCATTCAGCATGTTGGTTGTAACCAGTCCTTTACTGGGCACGTGGCAGATGGCGGGTACACCATGGCAGGGAAGACAGACTCAGTCCTGCTTCAGCAGGAGAAAGTCCCTTGGGGCTGGTTGGTCTTTTACACAGGGTCTTTAGCAGGCAGCAGTATCTAGGCGAATTTAATAATCTAGTTTTGCTGGGTGTGGTGGCTCACTTCTATAATGCTAGCACTTTGAGAGGCCAAGGTGGGAGGATCACTTGAGGCTAGGAGTTCAAGACCAGCCTGGGCAACATAGCAAGATCCCACCCCCGGTCTTTACCAAAAACAAAAAAAATCAGCTCGGCATGGTTATGAGCGCCTGTAGTACCAGCTACTCGAGAGGCTAAGGCAGTAGGATCACTTGAGCCCTAGGAGTTGAGGGTAACAGTGAGCTATGATCATGCAATTGCACTCCAGTTTGGGCAACAGAATGAGACCCTGTCTCAAAAAAAGAATAATAATCTAGTTATAAAGTTGTATTATGTACGGATGTATATTTACATTCAATGCCCCCCAGAAGGCTGTGCACCTCAGCCTACACAGTGCCGAGGGCCGAAGTTAAGATGTGGGAAATCAGTGCTGGGCTAAGATGTCTTCTGCCTGGCTGTGCAGCCCTCTTCTGTCTGGGCTACTGGAGCCCCAGATGCGACATCCTCCCACCTCCTGTTGAGTGTGGTTTTTAAAAAATAGGTAAACAGCATGAAGGAGCTGTACCTACTGATGGAGGAAGAGGAGATCAACGCTCAGCATTCTGATAACAAGGCCTGCACAGGGGACAGCTGGACCCAGAACACGGTGCGTTCTCAGCCCTTTCCCAGTCTTGTCCACTTGTTCCTTTGCCCATCTACTCATCACTTCCCGCTGCCTTCTCTGGCCCTGGCCCTACACTGGGCACCCGTGCTGCACAGGGTTATCGCTTGGTCACTTGCTCCCAGATGCTCAGTGCTATGGGGTATATAAGTCATCCCAGGGCAGTGACAGTGCCAGATGATGGACTGTGGGGCCACAGGTGAGAGAGCAACTAATTCTACTTGGAGTATAGGGGACCATACCACAGAGGAGGGGCTGTACGTAGCGGCTTTGAAGGATGATTAGGAGCTTGCCTGATAGAGAATGGGGTGAAGACCACTGTGGACCCAGAGAACTGTGTGCACAGAGGTGTGGCAAGGTATGCTGGGACTGGGTGTGGCTCAGGATGTACATAGCGGGGTGAGGACATCAAGCTAGGGTCATATGAAGAGGAGCCTTGTGGCCTGGGGTCAGGAGCTCTCAAATCAAGCCACAGATCAGAGAGAGCAGGGGCTCAGGATCACAGGAGCACACACTTGAGCTGGGGTGCGGGTGGGAAATGAGGTCGTGGGCCCAGGAGAGATTTGGGACTGAGTCAGGCATGGTTAGGGAGGCTCCGTGGATCAGACGTCGCATCTGGCCTGCAGCGGGTCAGAGAGGCAGACCCTGAGCAAAGAGAAGGACGCAGGGCCTAACACTGCAGAGTCTCGAAGCAGTCGGGTTACTCAGCTCAGATTCAGGCTGAATAATTATTACTGTAACTGCAGGATTTTCTGTTTATGTCGGGGGTGGGACTCGCATCAGCCTAGGAGGTGGCCAGGGCTAGGCTTGTCATCCCTATCTTGTGGGTGAGATGACTAGAGAGGTCAAGTCTCACAGGACTTGCCCAAGGCCTGGGAGAGTCCCGAGCTGGACTCCTAGTGAGTTCTCTGAGCCCAGGCTCCCCTCCTCTGACCCCGCCTTGCCTCTGTCTGCAGCCCAATGAGTACATCAAGACCCTGGCCGACATGAAGGTGACGCTGAAGGAGCTATGCTGGCTGCTCCGGGATGAACGCCGTGGTCTGACTGAGCTTCAGCAACAGTTTGCCAAGGCCAAGGCCACCTGGGAGACGGAGCGGGCAGAGCTCAAAGGCCATACCACCCAGGTGAGGCCCCCTCCTTTCGGAGACGTCTGCCCCCTTGCTGTCAGCCTAGCCTTCAGCTGTAGGATCTGGGAGTAGGCTGCCCAAGCCATGGTCTTGGAGGCATAGGAACCCCCCTGACTTTGCCTTGCTGCCCAGAGAGGGCAAGAAGCTTGCTTCGAATCACACAGCCAGGGTACCAGAAACAGAGGGGAGTGGGAGTCACTGGAGCAGGGAAGGAAGGCAGGGGATTGACAAAGAGGCAAGGAGTGTCACAGGCCCCTCTGTGGCACCTGGGCACACAAGTGAGGCCAGCATGCTTAAATGCCTGTCTGCACCTGGTGATGGTCTTCACACTGCCTGGGCTGTCTTTGTAGGATCCCCTTAACCCTGTTACCTGGCCCTGGTTTGTTCCCTCCACCAAGCCTGGAGGCCTTCCCTTCAGCAACCCAGCCTGACCAGAGGAGCCTTAACCAGGAGCTCTGGGAGTCTGGAGTCTGCTGTGTGCCTGGGGGCAGGTTGCTGCCCACCTCTGGTCTGGAAAGTGAGAGGGTGGCTTCCTGCACTCAGAGAGAGCTCCAGCCCCCAGCTCTGTGGTGCAGGCTGCCTTCCCAGAATCACCCACCCTCGCGAGGTGGCACTGTGATGATTTCCACTGGACAAATGACAGAATAGGCACAGAGGGGTTAAGTTTCCTCCCAGCGTCTCCTGGCTAATAAGTGGAGACTAATCCTTGCTCCCTAAACCTCTGCCCCTCCTTACTTCCCATGACCTGATGCCACCATCTTCCTGGTGCTTGTGGACTACTGGCTTCTTCCTCGGGCTGCTGTCTTCCCTGCTGATTTCACAGCTCCTGCCCATCTGCACATTCCACTGTGTCCACCGCTCCCACTGCTCCCCCAAACCCAGCCATTCCAGGTGCTCCTCCCCCTAGAACCTGACCGGCCCTGTGGAGGCTGGTTTCCTGGACCACAGCCAGGGACGTGTGGGGGACATTGAGTCTTGAGGTTACATGTTTCCCTCCTGCCACCCTAAGGTCTGGGACCAAGAAAGCAGTCATGCTGGGGTGATTCCTGCACATACGCGTCACATGACTGTGTGTGCGTGTCCCCATGCAGGGCCTGTGGACAAGGGGAAGCCCCTGCTCTCTAGGAGGGGATGTATGTAAATAACATGTCCCCCATTACCCAAAGCCCATACTGCTGCTAACAGTTGATGAACTATCATGAGAAACAGTAACTGGGAACCTCTGCCATGTCGTTGCTGTGTGACCTGGCACAAACAACCCCTTTGAACCTCTTCCTCCTCTGTAAGACATGGGTAATGGTAGTTCTTGCAGAGTCTTCACAAGGATACTGACATAATACCTGAAAAGCCACAGCACAGAGCTTGGCTTATAGAAAGAGCTCTACAAACCTTTATTGTGAGGAGTGGTTAGTTCTGAGTGAGGAGATCAGCAAAGGCTTAACCAGCTGAGGGGTCTTCCCAGGAGACCTCTGTCCCCCTGCCCCCTGCTGGCACCCAGGAGGGAAGGCGGGAGGAGGGCAGAGAGGAGGGGCCTCCTGGTACCAGCTGCCCCATCTACTTCTTTCCGCAGATGGAGCTGAAGGCTGGCAAGGGAGCCGGGGAGAGGGCAGGGCCCGACTGGAAGGCAGCCCTACAGAGGGAGCGTGAGGAGCAGCAGCACCTCCTGGCTGAGTCCTACAGCGCTGTCATGGAGCTCACGCGGCAGTTGCAGATCAGCGAACGCAACTGGAGCCAGGAGAAACTGCAGTTGGTGGAGCGGCTGCAGGGGGAGAAGCAGCAGGTGGAACAGCAGGTGAAGGAGCTGCAGAACCGCCTAAGTCAGGTGAGGCCTCCCCCGTACCCCCAGAGGTAGGTTCTCCTTCAGGTATAGTTGGATCCAGGTGCTTAGAGAATGCAGTAGGAACCAGATCTTTCTCTCTGACTCAGTTGCTCCTGCTTTCCTCTGTGTTAGCTTTACTCTTAAGCTATCCTCAAATATGGCCACTGTGTTTCATGCTCATATCTTACAGCTTAGCAGTCACAACAGATAGAGGTCCATTTCCACAAGGCTCTGATTGGCCAAGTGTGAGTCATGTGCTCACCCTTGGAGCCTACCAAAACCCAAGAGGGAGGAACTAAGAGTGGTTCCCATGGGAAAACTGGAGTCCTCTGACCAAAAGAAGGGGAAAGGAAAAGCTATTATCAATCATCACAGCCCATCACAGTTCATCTCACACACTCAGCCACCACCTACCATGCTGCTACACACTACTCTTTACTTTGACTTTTCCTTTCTTTTACTTTCTATTTTAATTACATAAATCTGGACTCTACCTTTTTATAAGACCTAAATATTACAATAGCATATTCCAACCTACTTCTTTCCTTTTTTTAAAGGCAGGCACGAAAAGTGAGGTTTATTGAGGAGAGGAAGATAGGATTATAGAGCAAGAGCAAGATAGAGGTTTACAGAGCATGATACATAAACCACAGATGACGACAGGACCCACTGTCGCAGCAAAGGGAAAGCCAAAGGAAGGGGCCAAAAAAGGGTTCCCTTTCTTGCTATTTCAATTTTTTTTCCTTATGAGACCAGGTCTCACTGTATTTCCTGGGCTAGAGTACTGTGACGTCATCATAGCTCACTGCAGTCTCAAACTCCTGGGCATAAGTGATCCTCCTGCTTCAGCCTCCTGAGTAGCTGGGACTATAGGCATGCGTCACCACACTCAGCTAATTTTTCTATTTTTTGGTAGAGATGGGGTCTCGCTCTTGCTCAGGCTGGTCTGAACTCCTGGCCTCAAGCAATCCTCCCGCCCTGGCCTCCCAGAGTGCTAAGATTGCAGGTGTGAGCCAGCACACCTGGCCTCTTGCTATTTAAATTTATATTCAGAGAGTTTTGTTTCCTTTGTTTTTTTACCATTAATTGAATCATAACATATGTGTTGTTTACATGTTGCCTCATTCATGGTGAGCTGTTCACAAAAGTGTAGAGGCAGCCTCATTCATTTTAACTGCTACTTGGCATTCCTAGTGTGGAGACACCATAATTTATCATTCCATATCGATGAAATCTGGATCATTTCCAGTTTTTCATTATTATTAATAAAAGATATGCCTCAAGCTGGGCATGGTGGCACATATCTATAGTCCCATCTACTCAGGAAGCTGAGGCAGGAGTATCGCTTAAGCCCAGGAGTTTGAGATTGCAGGGAACTACGATGACGCCACTACACTCTAGCTGGGGCAACAGAGTGAGACTCTCTCAAAGGAAAAAAGAGAAGAAAAAAAAGTTGTGCCTCAGTGAACATCTCCACACATATGTTTTTCTGCATGTGCACAAATATTTTGGAAGGATAGATACCTGGAAGTGAAATTGCCGTGTTCAAGGGCGTATGCATTTACAGTTGATGAAAACCATCAAGCCACAGGCCAGAAAGGCTTTGCCTAGTTACATTCCCACCAGCCACGTAGGGAGAAGGGCCCGTTTTGCTTTATCTTTGCGTGTTCTTGTAACTACAAAGCTTTGAAATGTCTGCCCAGCTCAGGATGTAAAGTGCTATTAATGTATCGTTGTTTTAATTTGCATTTCTCTGATTTCTAGTGAAGGTGAGCATCTTTTCATGAGTTTATTTGATCATTTGTATTTCTTCTTTCTAATGTTGTCTCCAGTCCTCCAACGGCCCTGTGAGGTCACAGTCACTAAACCCTTTTTAAAGATGAGGAAACTGAGGCAAAGTGACTTGCCCGAGGTCATGAAGTGAGTAAGGGACAGGACGAGAATCTGGCAGAACTCCCAAATCAGGACAGTGCCTAATCCTGGGCCCTGCCCCCGCGGGGTCAGAGCTCCTTTGAGGTTCGCCGCACTAGGAGCCTCTGCCTGACGAGTACCCTGCAGGATGGCTGGGTGACAGACAAGTCACAAAACAGTCCACGTCCCACATGGAAAGTAGATTCGATGCATCTGTTTGCACCATCAAACCACGTTCCTGTGTGTAAAAGAATAATTCCTTTTTATTATATGAACAACACAATATTCCTAAAATGATTTTGAAATTGTGAGCCAAGCTCCGCATCATACCTGGGGAAACACATCACAGCCCACGAGCAGGTCCTGCTGGCTCGTCGGGGCACAGGTTCCACGTCCCGCTCTTGTTTCCACGTTAGGCGATCTTGCGTGGGAAGTGCCGGCCCTCTGGCCCCAGCCTCCTGTGTCTCTCTGACGTTCCTCTGCCTCCTGCATTTCAAACCAGGTCCCCCAAAGCCGCGTTCTTCTTTAAACTGGACTGACGGTTACACAGCCAGGCGACAGCACAGTCAGAGTGGCTGGTGGGAAAGAGCTTCTGAGCTGGAGTCTCCAGTCCCTACCTGGCTCTGCCAGGTACAGCCCCAGCTAGGTCACCTCTGATCTCCGAGCCGCATCCTCTCGAGGATGACTGTACGTGACCTCATCTCACAGGGCAGCGATGGGAATGAAAGGAGATGGCCACAGGAACACTTCGGGATGATTCGGGTGTTCCTAGGCCCACCCCTCGCCGGGGCTTGCTTTGATTCTGCGGCCTTCATCTGTCGTTTCTGTTCCTTCACATTAGTGTGAATTTTGTTGTTGCCCATAATACCATTGGTCTTAGTTGGGTTCCTAAGAAGCCAAGCCTGAGACGTAGATTCAAGTGTGCAAGGAAGGTGACCGACCTGTTCTCGTTTGCCTGGGACTGAGGGCGTTTCCTGGACTTTCACTTTTAACACTGGGACAGTCCCAGCCACAGCCTCCCAGTTTCTTCAGAACTGAGGGTTTTCTGGGACGTGGCACTTTCAGTGCTAACACTGAGAAAGTCCTGGGCAAACCAAGATGGGTTGGTTACTGTGTGTGTGATTCGTTAAGGGATGGAGGAAGCCAGGGCAGGGAAGGGGAAGAAGCCAAGCAAGGACGTGCTTTCCAGCAAAACCTGCCCTCAGCCTGATCCTGTGACAGGCTCAGGGGTGTAGACAGTACACCACCCCACAGTTGGTCCACCTCAGGGCAAGGGGTTGGCTTCCGGGCCAGCCCTTTGGACTCCTGCTTTTGTCTGTCACTGGCAGTGATTGAGTTCCAGTTGCCCAGGATAATCCTTCAAGGAGGTCGCGGCACCAGATGGCACAGGTGAGGCCACCAAGCCACAGGATCTGCTACACTATTGTCGCTATCATTGCAACTCATTCAACGGCCTGACCTTGGGACAATTCCTCCTCTTCTCTCAATCTCGATCCTCTCACCTGTGAAAGGGAAACAACCATAGTATAGTAACATCTACCACATATGGTTGCTGTGAAGATTCAGTTAGCTAATGTGCACGTACTGAGTGGGTTCCGTTACATGCCACCTGGACCTGATGAAGCTCCAGGAGGGGAGGCAACCGCCGGCCACCTCCAGGCCCAGCGGGAAGAGTGCTGGGATCCGAGCAGCGGGGGCACGTGGGTCTCGTCTTTGCCACCTGATGTGCCCTAGCTGCTCCTTAGCCAATCTGTTCCCTGAACTGCAGCATGAATGAACATAGCAATAAAAACTGGTACTATATTAGATATAGTGACATTTAGAAGGATGCTCGCAAGTATTTGCTTTTATTATGATTTTCCAAATCCACCTGGAGTGGCTCAGAGCTGCTACCCACTGAGAAGTTGGCCCCGAGCCCATGATGCAGATCCTCTGAGCTGCAGAGTGGAGCCTTGGGAGTGGCCCTGCTCTGAGCGGGACCCCGCTGACCAGCTCTGCCTGCCACTGACCCACCCGCTTTGCCCTTATCCAGCTGCAGAAGGCTGCCGACCCCTGGGTCCTGAAACACTCAGATCTGGAGAAGCAGGACAACAGCTGGAAAGAGGTGAGTAGGGCAGTTGCCACCTGTGTTCTCTTGGCTCCTTGCTCCACTGGAAAGTTCCCTGCTTGTGGGGGACATGACAGGAGGATACTAACCCTATTCCACAGGGCCATGCCCTCATGCCTTGGGCTCCTCAGCCCCGGGGTCTCTTCCACATAGTTCCTACCTGTGGTTTGGACGTGGAAAGGGTCCTCTGCCCTTGCCATCCTTCCATGTCTGGGAGAAACATTTGGCCTCTCTTGGTTTCAGTTGTGCCCTATGAAAAGCAAGGACCCTAAATAGCTGTGTGACCTTGGATAAGTCACTCTCCCTCTCTGAGCCCCACTTGCCTCTTTGGTAAATGAGAATCGCATTTTCTGCCTTAGCCTAGCCCTGGGTGTGAAGATCAATAAGGTCACAGTGGTGGAGTTTGCACATAAGCCTCAGGTGCCAGTCGTCATGTAGCAACACACTGCATAACCAAACAGTGAACCGCAGGCCCTTTGCATCGCCCCATTCCATCCTCATGATGGCCTGTGGAAGTGGTGCGTCAGTCAGGGGACTTGGTTGCAAACAAACACTGATTCTGGGGAACTGAGGCAGGAGAGGATTTTATTGGGGGCTCACGTGGACTGGGGATGCAGATCAGAAAACCAGTGCAGGTCCCAGGGGACTGTCTCTGGAACCAGGGTGGGACAAGCCCAGAGCAGTAGCTGCCAGGTTGTGGCTGTCAGCACCAACTGAACAGCGGGCCACTGGGTTCTTTTTTGCTGCTGCCACATTTGGAATAAGAATGGTGTCTCTTTCCTTGGGGGTCACTTTTGGAGCTCTGATTGGCCCAGCCTGGATGACGTAATTCTGGTGGGGGAGTTAGATGCAGCACAGCCAGAAACTGCCCAGGGGCATTTGAGATCATTGATGACCCCAATCCTGCTGTACAGATGAGGAGAATTAGGCTTTGAGGTCCAGGCTCGGCTCCCACACTAGCCTCCTGTCACCTGTTCTCGGTGCTCTGGTGGCCAGAACTTGACCCTTCCTGTCTCTCTTCCTTGACAGACATGCAGTGAGAAGATCCACGACAAGGAGGCTGTT